CCTTCCCCTGCGCCATCCCCTGCCCCGCCGCCGCGCTGCTGTCGTCAGTGGAGCGGGCCTGAGGCGCGGGCGGGCCTCGGCGGGGCGCGGGGCCGCCGGCGATTTTCGGGGTGCGCGGCCTCCGTTGCCCCGCCCTCCCTGGTCAGGGGGCAGCCCTTCTGCAGGGGCGCTCTGTGCTTTGAGCCAGTTTAGTGGGTCTTCTCAGGTAGAGCAGCACAGTTTGTTTCTCTACCTGGGTTCTGGTTACCGGGAGAAAATTAGGAAACTGACGGGCGCCTGGCGGGCTCAGTCGGTGGAGCCTGAGACTCTTGGTCTCGGGGTGAGTTCGGGCCCACGATGGGTGTAGAGATTACTAGAAGGGATAAACCTTAAGAGAAAGAAAAAGGAGGAAACACTGAAACACTGATGTTCTTAACAGCGTTACATTGTAGTTTTCTGGCTACGGAGATTGAAGACTGGAGAAACTCCTCTCTTTAAAGTGTGACTGCATTCATTTTCTCATGGCTCTTTGAGGTCTCTCGTGCCATTTACCAATTAAGTAAAATAATTCCAGTTTTTTTTTAGTCTAAAGGATGACGCTTTAAGCCTCCGGTAACAAAGTAATTTAATCTTCCACCCTCTACCCCAGGCAACCCCCCCAAAAAAACACCCCACTTGCTCTCAGAAAATAATACGTAGCCCTTTGGTTTCCTTAGAGTGTGACATGTGATTACAAATTCTCTTCTTAGTCTTCCAGCAGGACGTGACGTGATGATCTGAATTTTTGTCTTCCAGCTTACTGTGAGGATGAGGGGGAGCTCCCTCGCTGAACAGACTATTTAAGAAGAGAACTACTTGTATGCACGTGGAATTTACTGCCTTTCTTCCAAAGATGAACCCAACTAATCCTTTTAGTGGGCAGCAGCCTGGGGTTTTCCCAGCATCTACCAGTGGTCCCATAGGAACATTTCAGGCTAAGCCACCTTTTCGATTTGGTCAGCCTTCTCCTTTTGGTCAAAATAATACATTATCTGGGAAAACCTCAGGATTTTCACAGGTAGCCAGCTTTCCGACATCTTCTGGAGTAAGTCCTTCTTCAGCACAAACATCAGGATTCTCCCAAATCTCAAATGTTGGACTCTTTTCTGGACTTGAACACACTCCAGCTTTTGTAGCTGCCTCTGGGTCTTCAAGTTCATGTGTGCCTGCAAACCCAGGATTTAGTTTTAAATCACCCAATTTTGGGGCTTTCCCAAGTACTTCTACGTTTGGACCAGAAACTGGGGAAATAGCAGGCTCTGGTTTTGGGAAAACAGAGTTTAGCTTTAAGCCTCTGGAAAATTCCGTGTTTAGACCAATATTTGGGGCTGAATCTGAGCCAGAGAAAACTCAGAGCCCAATTACTTCTGGATTTTTCACATTTTCTCACCCAATTAGTAGTGGGCCTGGAGGACTGGCTCCATTTTCTTTTCCTCAGGTGACAAGCAGTTCAGCTGCCAATTCAAACTTTACCTTTTCAAAACCAGTCAATAGTAATAATTCATCATCTGCCTTTACCTCTGCTTTGTCCAACCAAAATGTAGAGGAAGAGAAGAGGGCCCCTAAGTCACTATTTGGAAGTTCTAATAATAGCTTCACTAACTTCCCCATACCTTCAGGGCCTCTGGGTGAACCATTCCCAGTTAGCAAAACAGGTGTGAGACAAGGATGTGAAGAACGTGTTTCCCAAATGGAGCCACTTCCCAGCCTCATGAAAGGACTGAAAAGGAAGGAGGACCAGGATCGCTCCCCAAGGAGACATGGCCATGATGCAGCAGAAGACTTGGATGCTCTGTCGAGGGGAGATCATCCTCCAGATAAACGACCTGTCCGCCTGAATCGACCCCGGGGAGGCACCTTGTTTGGTCGAACGATACAAGATGTCTTCAAAAGCAATAAAGAAGTAGGTCGTCTGGGCAATAAGGAATCTAAAAAGGATATTGGCTGTGCCGAATCTGGGGAAAATGACCACATGGCCATCCCAGGAGGGAGTCAGTCTGTCTTGGCACCTTCCCGGCTCCCCGGTGTGAATAAAGAGGAAGAAACTGAAAGTAGAGATAAAAAAGAAGGTGAGCCTTCTATGTGTGGACCCTCCAGTAAAGGCTGCTGGCAGGTTCTTGGTAAATTTCCTTGGGTCTTAGTTTGATGTTCCTGGTAAATTTTCTGTAAACACTAGGAATTCTAACATGCCAAGAGCATGTCCTACGTGAACATTTCCTTTGCTCTTACGTAGGTGGTGCCTTCTATATGAAATGTTACGTCTGGGGGGCGATTGGCCGGCTCAGTTGGAAGAGCATGTGGCTCTTTTTTTTTTTTTTTTTTAAATATTTTATTTATTTAT